ACCAGAGAAAAAGTGATCCACTATTACCAAGAAAGCAGAACTGTGAGTGAAGCATATATTTTTGGATCTAGAGTCCTTGTGCTGAGAAACTCCTAGAACCAGGAGGAAGACTGATGATAAGGACCTCCCAGACCAAACACAGAGAGAAAGCATTCCCCTAAAGGTTGTTGTTTGTTGTTAGATGCCATCGAGTTGAGTATATGACCCAGAGTGATCCTATGAACAATGGCTCTGAACCTTGTTCTATTCCTGCACCATCCTCACACTTCCTGGCACACCAGAACCCACTGCGGTAGGCACTGCATCAATCCACCTGGTTGAGGGTCTTCCTCTCCTTCGCTGACCTTCTACCCTTCCAAGCATCATGTCCCTCTCCAAGGAATAGCCCCTTCTAGCAGCATGCCCAAAGCGTGAGAGGCAAAGCCTCATCATCCTTACCTCTAAAGAGCACTCCAGCTGCACCCTCTCCAGGTCATATTTATTTGGGATATTTTTTCTTTTTTTGCCGTCCATAGGATGTTCAGTGCTCTTCTCCAACGCCACAGCTCAAAGGCTTCAATTCTTCTTCTGCCATCCTTATTCACTGTCCAGCTCTCAGATGCATAGCATCTACCCACTAGGCCATCAAACCTCCCCTCCACAAATACGACAGCCTTGGAAACTCTGATGGCCATTCTGCCCTGTCTATCCTGTCAGAATCAACTCACTGGCAATGGAGTTTGTCCCAAACCAAGGCCCAGCCCCGTGTTAGCATGTGCCAGCACCTTGAGAGACAGCAGCCTCCTTGCTTCTTCAAATATCTGCTGATACAAACAACAGTCTGAAGACTCAAAGTCAGATGGCAGGAGTGAACGCTAAAATCTCTATCTCGGGGGTTTGCCCTTAACTGTCATCATTTGTTGCTTCAACTGTGTCGCAGGAGCATAAGGTGTTACTAGCTCCTTCCATCACCCTGATCATGCAGAGTAACTGTGGGCTTCATGCCCTCTTACAATGGAAAAACCGAGCTGAGAATGTTAGGATGAGAGAAGGTAAAATTGGCCCTTTGCCTTCCGTGGGGCAAAGACGTTGCATAAAAATGTCATACTAAAGCTGTTGTTGTTGTTATGCGCTGTCGAGTCACCTGTGGCCCATAGCGACCCTATGTACAGCAGCTCTGAAGCCTGCCCTGTCCTGAGCTAGTCTCACTGACTTTTACATACCTACCCCCATTGCCCCAGTTACTGTGTCAATCCATCTCATCCAGGGTCTATCCTCTTCTGCACTGTCCCTGCACTCTTTCGATTTTGATGTCCTTCTCCAAGGATCACGTGCCCAATGTATGTGAGATAGAGCTTCAAAATCCTAGCCAATAAGGAGAAACTTGGTTGCACTCTCTCTAAAACAAACCCATTTGATTTCTTGACAGTCCATGGTATGTTCAAGACTCTTATCTAACACTACAACTTGAAGGCATACGTTCTTCTTCTGTCATTCTTAGTCATCATCCAGGTCTCTGATGCAGAGCAAGTAGTTGCAAAGATCATGGCTGGATTAGGCACATCTTAGTCTCTAGACTGACAACGTTGCTTCTCAGTACTCTGGAGAGGTCCCTGAGAGCAGATTTTCTCAATGCAATCCATCTTTTGATTTCCTGACTGCTTCCGTACTAACGAGACAGCGTTCTTTGCAAACTGATTAACCTCCCTGGGCCTCAGCATGCTCATCTGGAAACTAGAGGTGCGGCTGTAGTGGTTGTTAGGTGCCGTCGAATCGAGTACAACTCACAGCGACCCTCTGAATGATAGATCTGAACCCCGTCCTGTCCTGTGCCATCCTCACACTCTCTTGACACCCACTAGCCCAGTGCTGCAGTCACTGTGTCAATCCACCTGGTTGAGGGTCTTCCACACCTTCACTGTCCACCCGCCTTCCCAAGCATGATGTCCCTCTCCAAGAGTGGAAGAGTGTCTTCCACAAATGGCTTACCCTCCTTGGGCCTCAGTAGACACATCTGGAAATTAGAGATGTGGTTCTATGCATCCTATTTAAGACATGTCTATTAATAGTATGTGTTCAAGGATACAGAGAGTCTCTGGCCCCAGGAGCAGGGAGGCTGGACTCAACCCACCCCTCAGCCGCTTCCCAGGCGTGGGGGACACTCACGGAAAAGCACCATAAGAAAGCGGGTCTGGTTCAGCATCTGGGTCAGCCCGGCAGACGTCAGCACCAGCAGGTTTTGTTCCTCCCTGATGTGCAGAGGCGGGGGCAAGTCGAGGCTGGCCTCCCGGAGGTCCACCCCTGGCAAGCCCTGCGCAGCGCAGACACAGGCGGCCACCAGCAGCAGGGGTAGTAGCCAGAGCCGCTCCATGTCGGTCCTGAACGAGCAAGTGGACAAAGCAGGGGGCCTTATCAGCACAGGTGCCCGGGCGCCACGTCATCGCTCCCTTTCCCAAGTCTTATGATTCAACTTGGCCCATCACAGCCCCAGCTGTGCCCACAGCTGGCAGCGACACCTCAGGAGAAGGGGCAGGGCTAGGTTGGCCTCCACGTCCCAGTCAAACAGCAGGAAGAAAATTGGCTTCCCCGCCACTGGTCGAGACTTTGGCAAAAAATATAGTCCGTTCCAGAATCCTCCAGTGAGCCTATAGATCTCAAAGGTGATGCTGGAGTTCCCCGTAACAGTCCCCCAGAAAACCCTCCACCACAGTGTCCCTGCTTCACGCCCTTCCACCTTCACGCTCCTCAACCTTCTGTTGGAACGCCCCTCACCGCCTAGCCTGCACCCTGCTTGACTCTGAATAGGTCCTCTCCACGTGTGTCAATATTTTCATTTCTCCTAAGCCTCCCAGGTATTTAATTCTATTGTGCCGTCTGTTGGCTGAGAACTACAACCGACAAAGCTGTGTTGAGAAAAGAATGAAGGGTGGTCAGCCTGGGTTCCTAGAAAGCTGAAGGGTGCAGATAATTCAGGTCTAGGTCTCAGTCCACAGGCCCCCACGGTCTCTCATGGAGCCATAGAGTCTAAGGTTGACCCCATGCCATGACTCCAGTCAGGGTCGACCAAGTAAAGGTACAACACGATCCTTTTCAGAATCTATTTTCTTGTTTACTCATTTGCTCATTGTTTTTAATTACAAGAGAAACTCATTTAAAAGTTCCACGCTTAGACGAAGATGTCAAAGGACAGTTGATATATGCCATCAAGTCGTCTACAACTTATAGTGACCCTATGCACAATAGCTCTGAACTCTGGTCTATCCTGAGCCAATCTCCTGGCCTCTTACATGCCAACCCTTAATACCCCAGTTATTGTGTCAATCCATCTCATTCAGGTCTTCCTCTCCTATACTGTCCCTCCACCTTTCCAAGTATGATATCCCTCTCCAAAGACTGACCCCTCCTGGGTACATGTCCAAAGTATGTAAGATAGAATCTCAAAATCTTTGCCTTCAAGGAGCAGCTTGGTTTCATCCTCTCCAGGCCTTGTTGTTATGTGCCATCAAGCCACTTCTGGCTCATAGTGACCCTGTGTACAACAGCCCCAAAGCCTGCTCTGTCCTGAGCCAGCCTCACTGACTCCTACAAGCCTACCCCGAAGCCAGAGAGGCCTCCAGAACCTTGCCAGGCCTCACCACTGACCACTGAAGGCCTCTTAGGGTTCATTCCCTGACTGGGGTTTTGAGCTCAATAAATATGTGTTGACTTAATTAATGAACTAATGGCCTGGTTTAACTCTCACCACAAACCCCGTGGTCCATCTCAGCAGCTTTCAACCAAGACTGCACAGAAGAGCCACTTGGGAGTTTTGGGGGAGGAGAGAAAAAGGTAGCTTATTGACCAAGCCCTAGTCCAAGAGCTAGTAATTTAATTTGGGGTGGGGATGTTGTTGTTATGTGCTGTCAAGTCACCTGTGACCCATAGCGATCCGACGTACAGCAGCTCTGAAGCCTTCCATCTCCTGAGCCAGTCTCACTGGTTCCGACCCACCTACTCTGAATGCCCTAGTCACTGTATCAATCCATCTCATCCAGGGTCTTCCTCACCTGCACTGTCCCTCCACCCTTTTGAGCATTATGTCCTCCTCCAAGGACCAGTCGCTCCAGGCCACGTGCCCAAAGTATGTGAGATAGAGCTTAAAAAATCCTAGCCTCCAAGGAGAAGCTTGGTTTCACCCTCTCCATCTATTTGCTTTCTTGGAGGTTCATAGTATGTCCAAGACTCTTTTCCAGTACCACCACTCAAAAGCATCAATTCTTCTGTCATCCTTAGTCACTGTCCAGCTCTCGGATGCATAGCACATAATTGCAAAGATCATGGCCTTGATCAGGTGCACCTTAGTCTCTAGGCTGACATCGTTGCTTCTCAGTACTGGACAATTTTTTGTTTTAAGCCCTTGAGGCTATACTAACGTGTATCCGTCTATATCAAAGTCCACACTGAATTAGTAAACACTGACAGAGGGAAGGGCCCCAGTGCGGCTCTGGTCAGCTAGAGTGACCCTTTCAACCGCAGCTCTTACCTAGAAACAGTCTGATTTCTCTCAGACTGGCTGGGACCTGAAGAGCAGGCTCTTGGTCTCTGGCTCCCTCTGGCGTCTAGAAGAGGAGCTGCAGCCTAAATCTAAAGAAATCCCCTGAGGAAATGACTTCTTGGCACTCCTCAAGCCTCAGCGGCCCCAGCGGCGGGGTTCTGAGTTCTGGGGTTCTAGAGCAGTTGGGGCTGACACATGAGAACAATGGGCCATTGTTGAGTAAGAGGGACCCGCCCAGCAGCCCTTGCTGAGGAGGGCTTGTCCCTCCCTGGGCAACAAGACCAGGCATTTTCATAGTAAAACACAGTGTAGGGTGCTAGGAATGATACAGATTGGCCCTGAACTCAGACCTTATAAAACTGGATTTAAATCCCTACTCCCGATTCTATTCCTGAACAACTGTGTGGCCTCGGGACTATCACCCTTCCTGGAGCTCAGTTTCCTCGCCTAGAAAATGACATCTCGTAGACAGATATGTTGGTTTTTGTTGTTATGTGCTGTCGAGTCACTTGTGACTCATCACAACCCTATGTACAACAGCTCTGAACCCTGTTCTATCCTGAGCCAACCTTATCGTCTCTGACACATCTACCCCCATTACCCCAGTCACTGTGTCAATCCCTCGCATCCAGGGTCTTCCTCTCCTGTGCTGCCTGCCCTCCATCCTCCCAATCATGATGTCCCTCTCCAAGGACTGGTCCCTCCTTGCAGTTGAGAAAAAATAAAAGAAAAAAAAATTAAAAAGTGGTTTTATTTATCATGTTGTGTAAAATGGAAAGAAAGTTGAAGGGAAAAAGAAGAAAAAAGGGTAATGATAGAGTCCACCAGCAGAGCAATTCTGCCCAAGATACATGACTGTACCCTTTGCCGGACCCTCCACTTTACTCAGCATCTTAGTGGCATACATAATACACAAGTTTACATGAGCTTCCTAAATTAATGCCCTGTTGTTGTTAAGTCGTAGACAACTCATAGCGACCCTGTGAACGAAAGACCTGAACACTTGTATAACTTTCATCATTTCTCCAAGTTCATAGGATTTCTGGAGACAAGCTATTTCAGAAGTGGATGCCACTCCTGCTTCTGAGTTTGTTTTAATCGGGGAGCACCACCAAGCACTGTCCACCATGGGTAACCATCATCGCATTTGGCACATCAGTGTCACAGTGTTTAGCATCACAGCAACCACGACTTACCTCTGTACAGCAAATGGACAGACTAGTGCTATACCACTTAGAAGAATGTTTGACGAAAACCAATTAAATCCAGGCCTGGGGACCACAGATTAAAATCACCCACCTTTGGCTTGGTAGCATCACTTTCTATGCACTAGGCCAATATTTGATAAAACCAGTCACTCACACCAATTATTTACAGCCTTTTTTGATACAAGGTGTAAATTCAAAAGGTGTTAACTTCAAAAAGGTTTTTCACTCATCCACAAAGTCTGTGGGAATAGAAGAAAAGGACCCCCTCCCTACTTTGTTACATCCAGATGTGTTGAATAGGACGATGCTATGTTGATGAAAGTGACTCTGGTCTTAAGAGTCCTATTATTCTAAAGGTGACTGTGGTTAAGTGCCATGGGATTAACTATGACTTATAGTGACCCTATGAACACTAGATCAAAACCTTACCACGTCTGGCACCATCATCAGGATCCCCGCCAAGCTCAAGTCCATGGTTGCAGTCACTGTTTCAGTCCATCTCATTGGAGGTCTGTCTGTCTTTGCCTGACCCTCTTCTTTACCCAGAATGGTCTTCTTTCAAGGACTGATGCCTCCTGCTATCATGCTCAAAGTATGCACATCAAACACAGTTTCACTGTCCTTTTCCAATTCTGTGGTTGTGTGTGGTTGATAAACTTTCTTGGGGAAGTGGGTTGTAGGATGCTCAGAAAGAAAGCATTGGAGGTTCTTTTTCAGACGGCATCTCGACTTAGGTCCAGGATCATTATGCAGGTAACTGGCAGTTTCTGCCACTTGTACTTGTATGCACTCCATGCTTTGACCTCTAGAGCAGACGGAGAGACAGACAGAGCCCTTTGGTGTTTGTGCTCCAGCTCCAGGAGACTTTAATTAGAATACCGTGCTTCCTGGTCCTGCACCAACATCCTTAGAGATCCCACCTGGTGCCTATTGGACCAATGCATCTGCTCGTAAGGTGTGACCCATGCAGTGCCAGCGGCGTTAGCTTGCAGGGGTATGTGACAGTTGATCGCCAATGTTCAGAGGTCCTGAGAGGTGCCTGCTGAATCTTTCCTATTTTGAGATTAGTCAGTGTGGAAATATTTACGCCACAAGCAGTGGAAAATGCTGCTAGTCAGGGCTTTTTGTCATTGTTCCCCAAGAGCAGGTTCCTCAGCTGCCCCCTCCACACCAAGACATGGAAGAATAGCAAAGCCCCGCAAGGAGGTGAGAGGAGGAAGCTCCAAACCAGTCTCTCCGCCATCAAGTTGATTCTGTCCCATCGTAATCCTACAGCACAGGTAGAAACACACCCTCCTCAACCCCATTGGCTTCCCTCGGCTATATATATTTATTGATGCAGAAACCCACAGCTGTTTCCTAACGGAGCAGCTGGTGGGTTGGAACCATTAACCTTTTAGGCAGCAGCACAGCCTTTAACCATGGAGTCCAACATTCTGAGGGAGGATAATAATACAGAAAATCATGCGTGCCTTTGTGGTGTTTGAGAAGAGTGCTGACTATCCCATGGACGGCCAAAACGACAAACAGATATGTTTTGGAGAGAGTGCAGCCAGAGAGTTCTTTGCAAGCAAGGATAACTAACAAACCTTGGTCTCACGTACTTCAGGAATGTTGCTAGGGAAGGCT